TTAGAAAAACGAAAAAAATACGAATGCCTACGATGGAAACGATTTATCAATCAATGGTAAAACAAACTGGAACATTACAGAAACAGGTACAGTTTGTAATAAAATAGTTTTTAATTCCTTTTTTATTCATTCATTTTTCTTTTAGAGATATATTTTGAAGGATATTTCTAGCCGTATAAATTCATACAGGAAGATTAATATGGGGAGTAAAATTTTAATTTCTAATGAAATAGATAACGTTGCAGAAGAATTGAATAAACTGCAGGTTGATAGTATAGCTTCATCTGGTATTAATGCGAAATTGTATGAGAGACAATCAAAGTTGACGACTGAGAAATCGGCAAAATTATTTAAGTTTTTGAATAAACGAAATGCCACTCATGTTGCTGTCAGTAAACCAACATTGAATAATTCTACAATACATTTGAATTCACTTTTGCAACCAGCTACACCGAATATAAAACATGAACAACCATTAGCTGAGCCGCTATCGCCAATAGCGCACACCAAGAAAATCTTACCACAAAAAATGGACTTTGTTATGTCCACACCTAAACCTGTTCCAATTTCATCTGCTAGTACACCGTTTGTAAAGGCTGAGGAGCATGCAAAGAACATGCCCGCGCAAGTGGCTTCTGCATTGCCAAAGTTTAATATAACTACAGATGTTTTTAAAAACACAGCATCAAGGCCCATTGATAATACTACAAATGCTGCAACAACTACGTACAACCCACCGATATTTGGAGCCGTGAAAACTACAACTTCCGGTTTTAGTTTTTCAAGTAAAACTATTAGTACAAGTGCAACACCTACAGAATCTGGAAAAGCAATGCCCGTATCTAAGCCAATACAATCGACTGCAGCAGCAACTCCAAACTCATTTAGTTTTTCTTCAATATTTGGCTCTACTGCAGGTACAAATACTTATAAAGTTCCTTCTATTGTAACTACAGCTGGTACTGGAGTTACAGCGAAACCATCGATTTCCATAATTTCGTCAGGATTTACGACCAATGCTCCATTGAAAATATCCGCCAATATAACTCCTATAGATAAACCAGCTACATCTACAATATCTAACTTTGGGCTCACAATTACTCCTGTTAGTACCGTGGGATTACCATCAAATGTATCTAAACCTGTAGTACCCACTACAAAGAGTTTATTTATAACGCCAACAACTGGCCAGACAATTGGATCTACAAAAGTTGCTTCAACAACTGTGTCTCCATTTGTTCAATCACAGATTAAACCAACTTCTACGGTAGCATCCACTTCAACCACCGTGTCTACTGGTTCATTCTTTGGTAGAAGCTATACTAGTACTGCGAATACCGCACCAACTACACAATCAACTGTAACGTCCACCAGCTCTATTTGGAATCCAACTCAGAAAACGGCATTTTCTAATATATTTGGTGGACAACCTACTGCGACAACATCCGCACCTTTAATATCTACCACATCATCGATCTTAGGATCGCAAGTGGCAACTACCTCATCAAATACTGTAGTATCCTCCGCAACGGGTTCTATTTTTGGTAGTCAGTCGGCGACTTCCGCATTTCCAGCATCTACTACAACGGGTTCTATTTTTGGTAGTCAGTCGGCGACTTCAGCATTTCCATCATCTACTACAACGGTTGCAAATGCACCATCTACCACAACGCCTGCATCGACAACTACATCTTCAACCTTAAATACAAGTGCATCTACTACATCTATATTTAAAGTAGTTACCACATCAACGACTTCGCCATTTGGGACATCAACAACAAGTTCATTCGGCGGAGTGCAGACAAGTACATCTGTGCCATCAATATTTAAAACTGTTTCAAGTACTACCAATGCAACATCAATTGCTGCTACTACAAATACTACATCGTTATTTGGAAATACTTCACAATCTACTGGTGGTGCATTAAATTTAACTGTTTCCAGTACTACGACATCATCTTCTAATGTTTTTGGTTCACAAAATACAGTTTTTGGTTCGAAACAGGACTTTGGAACTTCAACCACTACAACAACAGTAACACCGTTTGGAACTACGACAACAACAAGTTCGTCACCTTTTGGATCAATTGCCACAAATGTTACACAGGCATCTCCCTTTGGTACAACTTCAACAAATACGTCAAGTGTATTACCATTTGGAAACAAAACGACTACAAGCGCAACAACATTTGGAAACCAGACTACTACGACAGCCGCATCTCCATTTGGAAGTCTTACTACAAATACGACGACTGCCTCACCCTTTGGAGCATCTACCACTAATGTGTCCTCTTCAACGACATTCGGTGCGCAGCCTGTTAGTACAACATCAGCCTCGCCATTTGGTACCAATACCTCTTCCGTATTTGGAGGTAGCACTAATCAATCAGTGTTTGGAGGCACAGATCCAACCACTACTAGTGCGTCCGTTTTTGCAGGATTTGGATCATCAACTGTAAGTAGTGGCAATGTATTTGGAGCATCAGCTAGTCCTTTTGGAAATACAACAACTACCACAACTAGTGCATCTGCATTTGGAACTACAAGTCCATTTGGTGCTACAACATCTGCTTCAACATTTGGTACTCCTTCGCCATTCGGCACAACTACTACAAGTGGTTCAAATACTTTTGGCGCCGCTTCTCCGTTCGGTGCAAAATCTAGTCCATTTGGTGCAGGTTCAGCTACGGCCACTGGCTCAGTATTTGGGCAACCGTCAACATTTGGAAACAGCGGAGGATCGATATTTGGAGGAAATGCCACAACTACTGCAAGTGGTGTATTCGGTGGGACAAGTGGAACATTTGGTACTACTACTACTACCTCTTCAAGTCCATTTGGAGGAAGTTCAGTGTTTGGTGCAAATACAGCCAACACGGGAAGTCCATTTGGAAGTGCTTCTCCATTTGGTCAATCACAAACGCAACAGCAAGGCTTTGGAACCTTTGGCGGAAATAAACCTGCAACATTTTCAAGTTCTGGGAGTTTTGGAAATACAAATACGAATTCATTCAGCTTTAATAGTTTAAATATGGGCGCAACACCAACAACGTCAAGTGGATTCGGACAGAGCAATGCAAATCCATTCGGCAGAACGAATGAGCAAAAATTTCCAGCATTCAGTTCGGCAAACTTGTTTGGTAATACTGCGACAACATCCAGCGGCTCCACATTTGGTGGTACCTCTCCATTTAGTAAACCGGCATTCGGTAATACTGCATCTCCTGGTTTTGGTACTCCTCCCGCTTTTGGTCAAAGTAGTGGATTTGGTGGTGGTGCTGGTTTCGGAACCACGGGCTCATTCAGTGCCGGCGGCCAGTCTGTGCAGCAAAGTGGATTTGGAAGTCCAGGTTTTCAGAAATCACCAAGCAGTGGAGCATTTGGTAATCCACCAGCATTTGGTTCAAGTTCACCTGGATTTGGTGCTCCACCTTCATTTGGTAGTTCACCAGCATTTGGATCGAGCCCTAGTTTCGGTAGTCCACCTAAAGTATTTGGAGGAACATCCACAGGAACCACAGGTAAATTACATATTTTTTAAAAAAAAAAGGAGAGGAAGTAAAACATCCACTTTTAGCAAGCACCGGCTTTGGAACTACACAAAATTCCAATTTTGGTAACTTGGCGAACCAAAGTACCTTGGGATTTGGTAATTTAGCCCAACAATCAACTGCATCTCAACCATCTGGATTTTCAGGGTATAATCAAAGTATATTTAAATGCCGGTATACAATATAATTTATATATTTTTATTTCAGGGGCGGCTCTTCGTTTTCTAGTTGGCGTTAATTTTTTTTTTAAGGATTTATTTGTTTTATTGTCTTAACATTTTTTGGATACAACTTCAATAAAAAATATATCAAGAAAATTATTAAACAGAGTTTAATTATAGTTATTATTTTTAAAAATATTCACATTGTTATCGGTTCCTCCGGATACTAAATATTGGTTATTAGACCAATCAACGCATAGAACCTTGCCATCGTGGCCGGAAAGGTCGAACAGTGGTGCTTTGGGACTTCTTGTGTCCCATAATTTAACATTTTTATCGTAGCTTCCCGACATAAATAGATGTTCGCTGTATTGTGACCAAGTGACTGTAGGAACCCACAAGGTATGTGAAGTGTACGTAGACTTGCAAATAGAACCCTCGATAGAACGGGGATCATAAAGTCTTATATGTCTGTCTGCTGAGGATGCAAGAACCATATTATTCAGGGGCGACCAACTTAAGCTTAAAAATGCTTTTTGTCCGACTATTTCAGATTTGATACTACTCATCTAAAAAAAAAATAATAATTCAATAATAAATATAATTAATTAAAATCAATTATTTAGATTTACCTCTGCATCCCAGAATTTGATAGTATGATCCATAGAACTAGTGCATATTGTTTTATCATCTGACCACATAGAGCCAGAAATCGTTTCTTTATGCCCCTTAACGGTAACCAATGGCGTCCTAACAAAAGTTCCTTTTGTCTTTTTACTTGGAGGTTCATCATTGTCTGTTTCTAGAGATGCATTCCAGATTTTTAAATGAGTGTCCCATCCACCTGTTGCCAATCTTGTACCATCAGGGCTCACACTGACAGTGTCAATTCCTCTTTCATGACCTTTCAAAATAGCATGCTCTTGAATATCATTCGTGCCCACTTCCCAGTTCCATAAAATAGCAGTCAAATCATGCGATACACTCACAAATCCCTTCGTAGGGTCTCCTTTCTTCAGCCAACTAACACTTCTAACACAATTTGTGTGTTTATTAGAAGCAGCCTGATGTTTTCCTTTAATACTCCATATATTGATTGTGTTATCATAACATCCAGTCAAAATCCTAAACATTAAAAAAGTGATTAATATATATATAAATAAAATATATTAAATTATATTACATACCACTTATCTGCAACTTGAATACTGGATACCCAATCATCATGTAATAGAGCATCTTGAGGTTCAGGTGCCTGAGTACGTTCAACATATTCTATTTCAATAGTAGCCTCAGTAGATTGATTTCTCTCTTCAAGATGTTCAACCAAAGAAACCCTCAACAATTCTCCTAACACAATAAAATCAAAATCTATAGATTTAATAATATTACTATTGTTTTCCTTCAACAATTCATTCAACAATTTGTTCAAGGATTTAATATTAATATTAACTGGCACTGAAAATGGAACATCAGGAACAGCGTATCTAAAACAATGTTTAATATTTACTTTAAATTTTCAGACTGATTTATTATTGAACTGTTTATATATAAATTATATCAATAAGTACTTACATTTCTTGTTTAGTAATAAATTTTACTTGTAATTGCGACTCTGATAAATTTTCTGTATTCATTTTAATTTCTTTCTCTTCGTCTGCAACGCTTATAAATACAAAACAAATTTAACTTTCAACGAGGTATGGAAAAATAAGGTTATGTTGACCACAGGCGAAAGACAATTTGAATGTTTCTGCAATTTTCAATAATACGACTATATATGCAACTAGTTACATTAGAAAGTAGCGACTTTGCATTTGATAAAGAATAGAATAGAATATATTTTCGATATATTGTAAATTAAGTTAAATATAATGATATATTAAGTATAAACTAGTGTATTGTTTATATATTTAGTAGAATTTTGGGATAAGTGCATGCAATAGGCAACACACAAAACTTGTTTCACCAAATATTAAGTAATATTATTAGTTGTTTAAGTTGGCAAAAATGGAAATATAAATGGCGACTAAAGTGTTGTGAGCTGTGTTTACAATTTTCTTATTTGTAAATTGGTGAAGGAACAATATTCAAAATGCATCGAAGAGGCGGAAAAAGGATCCGTATGGATGAGCCACCACCTGATTATGAAAGTCCAATGACTCCTGCAGTAGAACATGATAGTTACGGTGGTTACACTTCAAATTATCAAGATTACAATGAACAAGCAAACTCCTCTTCTGATGGTATGTTTGAATCGCCTCCTACACCTGGTCTGAGAAGAGTCACAAGATCTAAAGCAAGAGGTGGTTCTCACCCGCAGCCTGTTTATGTGGCTCCATCAGCTAGTCCTACTAGTTCTGGTAGAGGAAGACCTCGTGGTCGACCACCAGGTAGGAAAAACCATTCAGAAGGAATTCATCATTTGGAAGATGATGCCAGTTTATATTTAACTATAAAAAATTGCAAGGCTTCCTTAGCTAGCATTGTGGATGATTGGATAGAAAACTATAAGGTAATTAAATCATTTCATTGATGTAAATAATCCAACATATTCATGTTTTATTTTTAGTTGCACAGGGAGCAAGCATTAATATGTTTAATGCAATTTTTTATCAATGCAGCTGGTTGCAAAGGTAGAATTACACAGCAAATGCAGTCAAATATGGAACATGCTGCAATTATTCGAAGAATGACTGAAGAGTTTGATGAAGAATCTGGAGAATATCCATTGATCATGGCTGGACAATCCTGGAAAAAGTTCAGACAAAATTTTTGTGAATTTGTTCAAACTTTAGTGAAACAATGCCAATATTCTATTATTTATGACCAATTTCTTATGGATAATGTCATCTCATTACTTACTGGTTTATCAGATTCTCAAGTATAATATTTATAAATATAATATACAATAAAATTAAAAAAATCGTTTTTTAGGTCAGAGCTTTTCGTCATACAGCAACGTTAGGTGCAATGAAATTAATGACAGCACTTGTGGATGTTGCTTTAACAGTATCGGTCAATTTAGATAACACACAGAGACAGTACGAAGCAGAACGACAAAAGACTCGTGAAAAGAGAGCAAGCGACAGGTTGGAATCGCTGTTGGGTAAAAGGCAGGAATTAGAAGAAAATATGGATGAAATTAAAAATATGTTAACATACATGTTTAAATCAGTTTTCGTACATAGGTATCGAGATACTCTTCCGGAAATAAGAGCCATTGCTATGACGGAAATAGGCGTTTGGATGCATAAATTTCATGCAAATTTCCTGGATGATTCCTATTTGAAATATATTGGTTGGACATTGCATGATAAGGTTGGTGAAGTTAGATTGAGATGTCTACAGGCCTTGCAACCTCTGTATGCCAGTGAAGAATTGAAAGGGAAATTGGAACTGTTCACTAATAAGTTTAAAGATAGGATTGTTGCTATGACATTGGATAAGGAATACGATGTTGCTGTACAAGCAGTTAAACTGGTTATTAGTATTTTGAAACATCACAATGAAATTTTAACAGATAAAGATTGTGAACACGTTTACGAATTGGTTTATTCTTCTCATCGTGCCGTAGCTCAAGCGGCGGGAGAGTTTTTAAACGAAAGACTTTTCCAACCAGGCGATATCGATGTAGGTAAAACTAAGCGCGGTAAGCGTCGCCTACCTAATACACCGTTTATCAGAGATCTTGTACAATTTTTTATTGAATCTGAACTGCACGAGCACGCAGCGTATTTAGTAGATTCATTAATAGAATCGAATACGATGATGAAAGATTGGGAATGCATGACGGATTTATTATTGGAAGAGCCAGGTCCCATGGAAGAACCATTAGATAATAGACAAGAAACAAGTTTAATCGAAATTATGGTTTGCTGTGTCAGACAGGCAGCCACAGGTGAAGCACCAGTTGGTAGAGGACCCACTAGGAAAGTAACTTCTTTAAGGGAAATAAAACAGGTAATTATATCAAATATATTTATACTTGATGAAGCTAAAGACTTTCATTAATTTTAAGGCTGGCGAAGATAAACAAAAACTTACCGAACATTTTATTGTCACGTTACCCCCTTTATTGGATAAGTATTCAGCTGATTCTGAGAAGTTAGCAAATTTGCTGAGTATACCACAGTATTTTGAGTTGGACTTGTATACAAGTGGTCGTCAAGAAGGTTCATTACAATCACTACTATCAAAGCTCAAACATATTGCAGAAGTCCATCACGAACCTGAAGTACGTATATTTATTAAATAAATGTTGGTAAGCGAATCCAACTTAATTATCTTTGTTATAGGTATTGGAAACATGTGCAAAAACTTTGGAAATTCTTTGTAGCGAGGGTCATTCCCTTTATACTCGTTGCGATGTAGCTAGATCTACTACAATAGACATGATAGTGGCGAGTTATAAAGATGCTATCGACGATTGGCGAAATTTATTACTGGGCGAAGAAACTCCCAACGCTGATGAAATTTTTAATGTCGTCAGTTCATTGAAGAAAGTTTCACTATTTTATGCTAGCCACAATTTAAATCAGTGGAATCTCTGGGGTACTTTATTTCAAGATGTCAAGGTATATACTCAAATTAGTATTTTTTTAAATTTTATTTTAATTATATGTTTGAACAGGAAATTGACAGCAGTCTCCCTGCAGAAGCGATAAAGTACAGTTTGAGTTCTTGTTTTTATTGCCTCTTGTGGGGTTTACGCACATTACAATTGACACAAGAAAACGGAGGTGTTACAGGTGCGGGGATTCAAGAGTTACGACAAAGTTTGAACGAATTCATTGAAGCAGCTCAAGAATTGATTAGGTCATCACCTCATATAAGTATTAGAGAGGAAAGTTACGTGTGCTTATGCGATCTGTTGGTTGTTTTCAGCGACCAATTGTATCGTACGGCTCAGCCGTTGTCGGAACTTATTTGTGAACCAGATCGTAATTTGCAATTGCTACTGAATGAATTTGTGCAAACCTATGTATTTGTACCGCAGCAGGAAGGAGAAAATGATGAACATCATATAGAGGGTTTGCATAAAAGAAGAAATTTCTTAGCAGCTTATTGTAAACTGATTGTTTATAATATAATGCCAACTAAAGCTGGAGCAGAAGTATTTAAACATTACGTTAAATACTACAACGAATACGGAGATATTATTAAAGCTACATTGAGTAAAGCCAGAGAAATCAATAAGGTTAATTGCGCGTTGACAATGTGTTTAAGTCTGAATATGATGTTCCAAGCATTGGGCAGCGGTGGAAGAGTAACTAGACAACATGAAGACTTCTTCGGTTTGAAGGAATTGGCAAAGCGATTCGCTTTGTCATTTGGTTTAGATGCGTTGAAAAACAGGGAAGCTATAACGGCATTACATAGAGCAGGTATCTTATTTGCTGTTAGTGGTGGAGAGAATCACGAAGATCCCACCGGACCACCACCGAATCTACCGTTTTTGGAAATATTAACGGAGTTCACTAATAAATTGTTGAAACCCGATAAAAAGGTAGTTTTAACATTTTTGGACAGGAGAGTCACTACAGGTTCGTTTATTCTTCATAACTTTAATCATTTATTATATAAATAATCTCTTTTAAGGTATGCCAAGCAGTCGAGGTGAAGATTGGCAGCCACTATTGATGTACAGGAATTCATTGGTGCACGGCGAAACTGACCAGGTTCCAACTACTAGTAAAAGGGCGTATGGTCGTAAACGTAAAGATCCTGATCACGACGATGACCACGAAGATGATGATCATGAAGAATTTCCAAGTAGTTTATACAGTTAAGTATCCTCTTTCGGCACACGTATCTATGCGTTGTCACTATGTTTAATGGCTTTATTAACTTTTATTTTTAGTGTTGTAGGGTAGATGCTTTATATTTTTCCTAGCTTGATCGTGAAGAAAGTTCTGAGCACTCTTAAATACAGGATTCGTAAAGGCGAAGTTTTCTTTTAATAATATTAATTTTAGTTTATTTAATTATTGTTTGTATTATTTTATCTTCTTTTATTATTTTAAGATAACAAATATTGTTTTTTTATTTTATATATCATTTCGCTTTGTAATTGTTAATTATATAAGATTACTTTAAGACTGCTCAGAAAGTTAACAGGTCTTAATATATGTATTGTTGGTAATATATATTTTTTATTTACTAGTTTTTGATTATTTCCATTCAAATATTCAACAACTAATACTAAGAATATATTTTTTATATGATATCTGTTTATTTTGTATGACTATTGTTATAACAATAAAGTACTATAAAAGGTAATTGAAGATAAGTTTCATATGTAAATAATGGATGACTATTGGTTATCAGCTTTGTGTGTCTATTTTTAAATATTTAATACGTAATTACAGCTTGAAAGAGGGCTCTTCTCCATACATATTTCAATGAGTGGTAATCATTTGAATTGTTCTTTGAAACCATCGCTGCAAAAAAAAGTATTTTTATTTAACTTGATTAGATTCTATGGAGAGTCTAGATGACGAATACAGTAAAATGGTAAGAAAATTTTGAAATTTCGCGCTTTTCCATAATCACATTGAAGTTGTTTACAAATGTGTGTAATCATTAAGTTTGGGGTTGCGAATAGTGGTCAAAGTGTTTATTATATTTTGACGTTTTATAGCCTTTTTTGACATTACGAGATTTCGTTTTGAATTTAATAGCAATAATGATTTAATAGCTTATATAATTAGAAGCATCGTCATAATTCCATAGAAATTGTTATGTGAAAGTATTGAAAGTGCGAAGTAGTTGTCACGGCTAATAGAGAATCAGCTCTACATTTAACCTACAAAAAAATAAGAGGAACAATTAAATAAACATCTTGATTTTGAGCTTTTGGGTCCAAGTGTTTACATTTTCAAGGATTTGATAATGGCTGATGTACTAGTGGTGGACTGGATTGAAGAGTTTGAAGCACTCACTGAAAGTGAGATTCACACGTACGCTGCTGAACAGGAACACAATCATGAAGTTTCAATTGCTTTGCATACCATATTTGAAGAGGACCATAACAATAAGCAAATGGTATTAACGTTGTTATTTTCTATATGTATTATAATTATTGTGATGATTATATGTTTTAGATTATTGACAGAATATGTCAACAGTTATTTGCTTTCTACAGGTCCGGTGAGAGTGGATTAAAGAAATTTGCTATGCAATACATTCCACACTTGGTTTTGTTGCATTTAGCACACAGGAAGACTTATCCATCTATAGAAACATTGATTGTTAGCTTATACAATTTAGAAGTATGTATCCATAGTTTACAACCTGTTAATTAATTATATTGAATATTATTTTTGTAGGTCGTTGATTCTAAAGGACAACCACGTATAAAATCATTTCGGGTTCCAAGCTTAGCCCAATCATCGATGTATCATGACTCGTCAAATTTGGATCCAGCGTTCCTTGCTGAAAATTCGCTTCGCCGTTGGGAAGAATGCAATACGAAGCTCGTAAATTGGGGACCGCTGCCACAAGTGGAAGCATTGAATGCGCAAAACAGGCAGAGGGTTGTCACTGCACTTGTATTTCTATTCAATCAACAGATTGCTAGTTTTAATTTACAGGGAATTGAATATATTTGTCGAGCGATTTCAAGGTAATCAGAGCAATTTTTAAATTTATTGTGTAATTAATACACTTATACTTTTTCTTGAATAGATTAGTAAATTGGATATTTATATTATTTTTCAGAATAGTTAGTCAAGGGTTTCAAGTTACAGGAGGGATCAGAACATCTGTAGACAGTGATTCATTTAATATTAGTATGATGCCAAGAATTCTGGTATCCAGTCAATTATTATTGGAATTATTACACATAGTTTATCATGCATTGGAGAGAGATGTAAGTGGAGCAGCACAAACTTTGCATGATGTTACACAGAGAGCAACATATGAAACATATACAGGTATTTCGATTGGTTGTTCAGTAATATTAGAAAAATATAAATATATAGATGTTTTGTTGTTAACTTATTTTAGACGTGCTACTGGCTGCTCACGCTATAACGAACTTATTACATCGATCCCCCGCGGCTTACATGCCGGCTCGTTCGTCCAACAAGCAGATAATTACGAAGTCCATGATTACGAATGCTTCTTTCCGTACGAAAAAACTGCCAGGTAGGTGAATTGCTGTATATCTAGTTCCCTGTAATTCCCAACCATATCCGATCGTTCCCTTCCCAGGAAATAAAAAGGGTAAATGAATTAAAACATCTACGTTCCTCCTATGCAGACGATATACCAATCCAACATCAGGAAGATGCAGGTGGCGCGGGTGATGCCAGCTTGGATTCGATTGTCGAAGAGGGAGGTTCTGATGCTCCAGACAAGAAAGGCTTCCGCGGAAGGTCAGGCAGTGCTCTCAAACATTTACCGAAATTATCGGGATTAGGAAAGAAACCTAAGCTTAAAAGTAGTCCAACTCCGCCCCGACATTCATTGGAAGAGACCCCAGTCACCGGTGGCAATAGTTCCATCGGTATGATGGAAATGAAGATGAATGCAGGCACTGGAGATCAAGTCTCTCTGGTGGCTAGTAATAGCAACGGAAGTATGCAGAACGAACTGAGCCTTAACACTGTTCACGTGAGTACTGTTTAAAAGGCAGAAAACGTTTTTTTTTCTTCTTTTAAATCAAATGGCAAAGCTACATCACGTATATCGAATATTGATTTATATGAATCTTTGTGCCATTCAAAAGGAGAAATTTGATAAACAAAGCGAACTTTGCCTAAGTCACTTATCAAATAAGTTACCATTTTCTGAAAGTCATTCATATTTAATACTATTCATCAAAAATAAAACTAAGTAAAAAATTCTGTATATCTATATATATATTTATATATACACATTAGTTCTGTAGCGGTTAGTTTGTTATTGTTGGGAGACGAAAAAGGTGTTATGAATCTGAAAATAACAATAATTAAAGGGTTAATTAAAACAAATATATTAACCATTATATAAATAGACTAAGTAAAAACTGACTGCCTCTCTTTCCAATTTTTCTGTATGCTCTCCAGCTACGCTTTTGTTTTATCTATTTATTATTATTATTATTATTAATAACCCTGTTAACTTCATAAGAACGAAGTGGTGTAGTTGGAGGCCTTGTTATTTTATTTTTAAAGTATTACTATTTGTTAAATTATTTAAGGAAAATTAACTACATTCCAATAACATTTTGATTTTGTTAATATTCTATTAACACGATCTATTGAATAATTTTAATAATATATATTACAGAAATGTTCTTGGGATTGATCATTTATAATTATGTTATTTAAATGATTTTTTTTATTAACAATGTATGTTATATATATATATCTATAGAACCTGTATACTCGTTATTGAAACATATTGTTAAAACGTGAATTTGTATATATCTATATTGTTTTTATTGAAATTTATTAATGTATATAATTATACATTATTTGTAATATGTATATTATTGTAATAACTGTAGGATTTTGTTTGTTTTTTTTAAGGTGAAAAGAAACAATTAATAAAACGTACTAATACATGTATTTACGGGATTTAAGTACGTGATCTGTTGTGCCTTTGTATGAAACATCCTTTGAAGCTGTTGAGCCTAACATCCACCTCTCCTTCTTCGAGCTGTAATAACGATTCAATAATTAAAAGATAATGTTATCAGCGAAGTTACTCACTAAATCCGATTGATAGAGATCCTTGTAACAAGATGGAGAAATGCATTGGCGAATGCATAACGTCTTCGAGACTCCTATCTTTCCGCTGCAGCCAAGGGCGCAAGCCGTTTCATATTCATGGAACATTGCTTCCTATTGGATATATGAAATAATTTGTAAACAAATTAAATTTGTTATTAATGTGTATATTTGGTTGCATATGTAAGGGTAAATAATAAAAGTATGTTAACGTCTCCAATTGTTTGACGATAAACGAAATTCCAAAAGAATGATGATATCGGTGTTCAAAAATTCGTTGAAATGTAAATATTTAAAGCTGATCTAAATTTAGACGATTACATTCTACAAATGCATGCTATAAATTCAGATCTGTATACAAAACACGGTCTACACAAACAAGGAGCTGTGTACACTTACATTCTTGGGGATTTCTTTGTACGGAAACTCGAGAAAAGTGTAGGTCACTTTGCTGAGACATTGCGGAACAGCGGCCAGGGCTAGAAATACGTACAAATAAACTAATATCATGATTGTTTATGGAATGTTGAGGTGCATTTGCGTTCAAATCGATTTGCTGTTGATGCTCTTGGCAGCCAGGATTTGCGCACGCATTTTATTTTTGTTCCGTCTCTATCTTGCGCGCTGCTCCTTTCGTTGCGTGCTGCCCCCTCGACCCCACCGACCTAAACCAACTCGTTCGGTTTTCAATCAATCCGTTTGGTAGTAAGCAACCACTTGCTGATTCTCTATGTGTATAAAATAGTGTAATAAATAGCCCTTTGTGACCGGTGAGTGGTAGTGTTGAGGGACAAAATCTAGAAGGGAAACTGTACCATCGAAGACCTATACAGATTAAACATCGTACAGCAGAGGCAAGTCTTGAATCATTCGCATTCCTAAAATCAAAACTTCTACACATTCCACGAAACGTGCGTCCAACTTGTTTATAAACCTTGCATTGTTCAACAAACAGAAGCAAACATCGGTCGTACGCCACCCTTCGATTCCGGATCTCGTACCATTCGCACTGTGCGACTTTTCCTTTTCTGGTTTCAGTTATTTCTCGTTAACGAGAAAGAAGGCTATTAAAACCGGTCTCGTTTCGTCTTTCTGGTCCAACAATGCAACGTTGCCGCCGCTTTATTATTTACAAAACACTTCGATTAATAATAATAACATTATTGGATTCGAAAAATCCAGGGAATCGCCGAGAAAGAATCTTCAAGATTTCGGCAAGTTTCGCAACGTTTCGCTAGTAGACATAGTTAGAACTTTCAAAAAGTGTCGCAACGGCATTTTTCTACATTTGCGGAATAACAATTTCTTACAATCTAAATTCTATGTGTCTGGTTGTGTTATTTCGCCAATTTCGTTATGAGCACTTTGGTTAATTCCCCCCATTCCAATTAGTCTGCTATAGGAAAAGTCCTTGTCTCGGACCTATCTTTGCGTGACTAATTATATCTTCTTGCATATCTTCGTTATTCCTTGCCGTGAAACCTTTGAGCATATATTTCTGTTCATTTAATTAGAAGCCAAGCTTTCGCGCTCTGTGACCACCGAGGTCATGGTCTATTCGTGCTTCATTTTAGACATCTACCAAAGGTATAACATGTTGACAGTAAAATGAACTAAAACTTCAAAATTTGCAACCAAACTATCAAAATTTGACAATAAAATGTAAGGTTAGTAAATTGTTATTGTTTTCAAACGTTTGGCAGAACTGCATTTTACAAATGACTACCTACTTAAGTAGGTTCACAATTTCAATTGTTTGACATTGTATTATCATGGCAATAGATTTACTTGTATTTGTTGATACACGTTAATGAAACTTCAAATATAACAGAACTTACTCTTGTAATTAATTAAAATGATTAAGTACATTAATTTATTTTACTTTATTGGGTTTCCTAAATTGATCGAATTTTGGAATTACAATAAAAAAACTAAGCCAATTTAGGCAAATTTAAAACATAATATTAAAAACGGCGCCATTATAATTTTGAAGACGTTTCCTTAAGAGAAATTATGAGTAACAAGATGAGCTACAGAGATTTAATGAACGCAGAACTTAATGCTGAGTGGGAAGACTTGGATAGGGCTATTTGGGTAACTACTACTTTATTTATATGTATACCACTTCAAATGCAGTCACAGAGATGCTTAGAAGATGGTTTACTTCAAATTCTTTTCGTTTACATTACTTCTATTTTATGGAAAACCAATCCCGTGTGGTTTGTATTTAGATAACGCTCTTTGTATAGAGTTTGTTAGTCACCGTTTCACAGCTGAAACAATGTATGAGACAACAGGTTTGTGTTTCTTTTGTAGCTTCCAATGTTTAGGGTGCAAACTTAATTATACCATATACATAGTATTTTACATAAGATATAACTTACAAACTTAATAGTTTAAACATGAAATATATATATACATATTTGATCAATATTTTCAAAACTGTTTATATTTTTGTGGTGACTCTCAAATCTAGTATAACTCTATGAAGTTTTATCTACGGAAACAACGTGCGATTCTTGTTTTATCTAACCTTGAGTAAATGTGTCTACTTTATGGTTGAGTTCATAGAATCCGCTCATTGTATTTTCCTTTCAACATCAGACGACGTGTGAAACCACAAAGTGTATTCTTTTTTGAATTCCCAAATTCTTCGTATTTTGGACAAGGGATTCTAACATTCTGCACTACCACATTTCTAATAAGATAACTTACAATTACTAATCGAAAAGTACAATTTATTTTCTCATTTGTTGAAAGCGTTACTGTAATAAGTTTGCAAAATTCATATTTTTGTGATTCAAATCAGTCGATACCCTTCGAAGAAGTAACTGGAATTCAAATTGTCGTATTTATTCAAATTTTGCCCCAGATAGCATCATAACAGCAGAGTACTTCTTGAATCATCACCATGTGTATCATTTCTATCAATCTGCACTGGAAATGTAAAGTGGAATTGAAAATCAAACTATTTTATTATTTATTTTTAAATTTATTATATCGCAACGTTAATTATATAAAAAAAAACTGTAGTTATGACACGTTCAGTGTTAATTATAAATAATTGTAAGTTAAGGCGGATGAATCACCAGTTTGTATTTCTTGAGTAAGACTTATAGTGCTTAATGGTTACGGTTGTAATACATCCAGCTAATATTACTTGAATGTTATGGCAAATGACTTAGTGATGTGACACATAGCAGTGGGCCCTGTTAGGAACGACCGAGTTGTAGGACGGACAGTTAGTTCAGAAGCATTTGCAAGAGTTGTACTATTTACATCAAACTATTGATTGTAAGTAAACACTTTGTAGTTTAAAATTTGTCTAAATTAATATAAATTGTGATTGCGGAATGAATGTAGTTTAATTGCATTTACGTAAAACTCAATTACACCGACAACGCTTAGAATGTTGCTCCAAAATCCAATTATAAATGGGATGTGTGGAAATTATGCTGCGGCTGCTTTCCATGTTCCTCCTGTATGTGTTCCCAGGTAAATTGCTGATCTTCAGAGAGCGGCGTCGTGATAAAAGAAAATGTGTTTCCATAATCATATTTGCGTGCAAGCGGAAATGTTATCAACTTCGCCGTGTAGCGAGTAAACCGAAACTTATCCTTGATGAAACAAATTCCTGTTTTATCACACACACACAACAAAACAAAAGTTTTCGGTGCTGCTGCAGCAGGTGAAAGTATCTCTTCGAGTCAAGAAATTTGCGTGTGAGATGTCGAAATTCCATTTACATTATTATACAATTATATAATTATCAGCGATTCGCTCAAAATCATATTGGAAATGATATATTTACGTTTATATTCGTAAGTAAAACAAAACTTGAAATGCGAGACTGTAATTATGTAAAAAAGCGATTGAGCGTTTCTTCTTTTTCCATATCATTACATAAATGGATGTTGTGTATTCTTTCTGTGTCAATGACATACATCCTTTCACTATATTTGGTCTTGAAATTCCGAAATATTCTTGCTTACACCGGTCATTTGATTTTGTAAGCTTACCAAATAATTACACTTTTTTTTAAGTTCATGACTATTTAGAGCAATCATTTTGCAAGTGTCGCAAATTTATGTTGAGCTATTATTATATAATTTGTTAAATTTGATAGACGTATTTTATGTGGAGCAAGTGTAACATTAATACATATTTGAATACATTTAGTAAATTATTTTATAACGATTGAATTCATACAGAAAATAATAAATAGATTTAAATTACTAAATTCAAGAAATTAATTTGTTGCATTCATAATAGTAATACAGGTGAAAGTAAAATTCCAATTAAAAGTATTAAATAATGTGTAGATTAAGTTCAATTGTAGATAGATTAGGTAAGGTTCTAAAGAAGGAATATGTTATATAAATACTCCTTTTCAAGAAGATATGTATTTGGCAAATAGTGAAGCTATGAATGCTTGATACGTTGATACTGATTTTATTTCATAACTCTGGAGAAAAACAATGGTTAACAGCATATTTAATAAAAGCAATTGATTGTAAATCTTTAAAATTAAATATGTATATTGCTGATGTGTGGTAACAAGTAAACAAAGATGTATTTGATGTTGGTTGTGTGGTTGCATAAAACTGTGTTGATGTGCGTATTTGGTTGCAGTAGAAGTAGCAAAGAGATAAGGTACAAATAAATGGAGATGCATGTGTAATAGAGCCGTGAGCTGCTCGCTTCTGATTATTTTGCGAATGGTATGGTGATGGTGCTGGTACGTAATGTAACTGTGGATATCGTCGATGATGGTGCGATCGTATTTCGCGGTTTAATAAACGTCGCCGGGGACTTCTCGTCAGACCTTGTGGAGAGGGAATTGGAAGTGCGCGCGATCCAGCGTTCATTGATCGACCCCTCCACGGTCGACAGGAGTCCCCCCCGAGCGCCCCTCGCCGGTGCCCTTACAGTGTTATCCCGACAAAGCGACCAGGGTAGTTGGCTGCAACACCCTCACGTACCGTGGCGCTCACTGACTGACTGACAAACCGGCCCCGCACATCAAGATCAGTGACTGACTGACTGTCCGTACCGATACGCAAACACACGCAGTGATCACACCTAATCACCACAATTTACCATTCGTCTTCAGCAGCGTCGAACTCGAATCCAAACCAAAGCCATAGCAGACAGCGGGAAGAAAACAAACCGTTTTTTTCCTCCCTAGTTTTAAACAGTGTACCTTGCACACATCGTGCAGTGTTTTTGTATGTAAAACGTGTTTCAAAAAGCATCAAACTGTGGGGCGCAGGGGCTTTCTTCTTACCTCCGCAAGGGATGTACTACCCGGTAAGAGATTTAGAAAAAACTACCCTTACATGTATCCTTCATCTTTTGCTTTAGGTTGTTACCTCGCTTTGGCGCTTCATCCCCCTCATCCACTCTGGCGCCTGACGCTGTACCAACATCCTCTTCCTCTCAGAACCTAAACACCTCAAAAACATCAAAACTACAGAAATGAAAATTATTATTTTTCCTCAATAAGTACGTACTACATACATATATATACCCATGTGCTTTTTGCGAAAATATCCGTCGATGTGTGGCCGTCTGCCAAAAAGTTTTCCCATTCCTTCTAGTCCACTCCCGCCAGATTATTTAGAACGCAAAACGAACGACGATCGCACTTTCAGGGAGTCACCTATGTCTAAGCTCTCGCAATATTTATTGTCCTTCTTGAAAACCTTCTGGTACTCTTGTTTTTATTCCCAACGACCATTTAAACGACGAGGGAAAATCCCCCGGCGCCTTTTTTCGACGATAAAACCGAATCGATGTTCACGTTTTATCTCCTATTAAGAGACCCTTCTGGAATACATCCCACTCACCAATATGATATGATTAATACAAAATTTACATCTAACTGAATGATCTCATCTAGTTTCCCAAATCTATTTTTATTTTTAACTAACAAATTTCATAATACAATCGAGAAATTCGTTCGTTAATTAAACTAATGTAATTTGAAGCGGCCCAAAGTTTTAATTATAACAAAATTTAATCGAGTTACTACCATTAATGCAGTTATACCCTTGTACATCAAAAACTTTACACGCAAAACATAATTGCAATTGTGTCGAATATGTGACTACGTGGTATGATTCGTTTACGAACATCCATCCAGACTATTTAATTTCGTGGCGCTCTGCATGTTTAATTTTATTTCGAAATTAGCATTGAATCGAAACAATAACTTCGGTATTTTAAAGCAAAACAACAGAAGCCGAGCAATTCTTAATCGCCGGCTTCGATTTAACGTCGACGAGGTACAAGCTGAAACCTAATTCTGCTTAGGAATATCCCCATTAGACAGACACATCCTATTCAACAGGGTCTATGCGATACGTAATCGATACTGCAAAGGTTAAATTGAGTAAACTTATCCACCCTAACTCTGAGACACTTGTAACCAGTCGGATAGATTTTCCAATGTATTCAAATACTTTCCATTGTCCCGTGGAAACCAGGCTCGCTATGCGTATTTTTATTGATATTCTAAATTTACATTTAGAATATCATGCGTTTATTGTGTAGTCTTCTACTTGCTATCAATATCTGTGTACCATATTCATTATTATACTGAAATCAATATACTAAATCATATTTTATATCAATTGAATGCTATTATATAAACTGCCAATACAATAATGAACTTTTTTTTGTAATGAAAATGAATATAAATACTAGTTTATAAGTAAAACGAGTTCAAATCTCGCGAAATTTATGAAAAAAGGAGTATGCTGTAGTCTTTCTAGTCAGTACGTGTGTGTGTGAATTGAAATGAATCAATGGGAGGAAATGTTTCTTTATTTTATTTTGTAATGGCGCACCAGGGTCAGACAGATGTTACATTCCTCTTTAATAGGTTCAATTTAACCATTTTATAACGCTCAAATCAACTATAATATCCGTTTAGAGAAGGCAAAAGGCAGCTCCATACTAACAGTTTTATTTCGATGAAAGTACTTGGAAATACTTCGTAAATCAATTGCAAATCGGATAACTTCTTCATTCTACTACATTATTTATAATTTTTATTTAAAGAACTCTATAATTTGTTTAATTTTAAAATTCAATTGCAGAAAGTTGATTCTAGTGAGATTGGAGAATTTAAATTAAATATTAGAAGAATTGACCTCGACATTTTTTTTTAAAACCTATTTCTGTTACGAGAGTAATTGATTTTTGATGCAATTGGAAAAATAAATCAATAAGAGGCTATCAAATATTTTGTTTTCTATTTGAATTGAATCGATTTTACTGGATTTAAATTGTGTTTAAGACGTAAAACGTTTTTGTTCTCCTAATGTTAGTTAAACATAGAATCATGATCTATGAAAATGTAAATATTTGGAAGACTCTGTTTCTGGAATTGCTAATTTAGATTGGAAATTGATTGTTGGACATTCGTGAAATATCTTTTCGTTAAGAAGCATATCTTATCTCGATGTACTTGCACTTTCGTCGGGTGCGTAATTGCATTGGCCGGCGGCCAGTTCTGCATAATTTATTCTATTCTTATTTGTGATGCCAAGTGTCGGCGATTTCGCGCGCTTTATTTGAAGTTCGTAAAAAGTGGAAATGATGGTAGTTTTTCGCAATTTATATTCGTCGCGTGGTGAAGAACGACATCAGCAGCAACGGAGGCTGGGCTAGAAAAGAAACATATGCTGCGCACACATACTCGGTTTCGGTTTCAGCTTTCCTTTGTATTGGAACATCTGGGTCCAGCATGTAGACCACCTCTCCGAAGCTTCGGTGCTCTGGTTTTCATCAAGGCGTAAACAAAGAAAGCGCGTCGGGGTCCCCCTCTGATTTATGTTTTCCTTTCTCTGTGTTAACTTCTTTCGTCCTCGTCGAGGAACATTTATGTCTGCCGAGTTAAATTCCTCTTCGTTTTGCTTCAGAATATATTTTTAGTGCTTTCGCTCATGAAAAGAATTATTGACGTTCGTTTATCGTAACGCTTTATTAGTGCAGCCATCCAGAATTCATTCGTCTTCGTCGTTTATATGTATCAAGAGTTATTTTCATGAAACAATGAATTTTATTTTTGGTAAACAATGACAGTTAATTAAGGTTGATTATGATTCATCGCTACTGTTCAATTTGAAGTAGCACATTTTTTCTTCACGCATTTAAACTATGCGCGTATATATATATTAATTATTCCTGCAGTCTCATGCAAATTTGTCATAATTACAATTCAATTAGTGAAGCGACGGAAAGGAGAAAGTTTTCAGTAGGCGCGCGACAGGGGAAATATTTACAAACGTTTTGTTGAACCAATTTTGGATCGATTCGGCGAAAAGCAAAACGAAGTAATGGCCTTAATAATTAACATACAATGATTTTTGCCTTTGTTTTGCACGCATTATTCTTCGTTCTTTTTTCTTCTTCGTTCTTTTGGTCGGGAACGAAACAAAACGCGAGAAAGACATCGTCCTGATATTTTAATGTTTATACCTGAAATGCTGCGAAAGGCTACAACCGGTTTCCATGGTAACGCAAGTCCATCCCCAAGTTTCATCTCTCTCTCTCTCTCACTCCTCCTGCTTGTTGTCTCCCTCCATCTCTCTTCTGCTCCCGGGCCAACCCTCCGTTACCCACAGTGATTCTATGCTGCAGCCCCTGAATCCACACCCCTACAACAGGGTACGCAGAATTGCTAAACCAACCCCCCCGACCCTCAACACCGGGACGCACACCCCTCATATAAATTGCCGGCATGTCGGTGGTGAACACTATAAATTCAACCCCGTTCTCGTTAATAGTTACTTTCAAATCACGAATTAAATGAACGAAAAAAAAATTACATCTCACATTTCGCAATTTTTGTTTGCAAAATCATCAACGCACTTCATTAAAACAAACACATTTCTGTAGGGTTTTACTAATTCTGAAACAGCATCAATTCTATATGAAATTTACCATTCTGAAGCAGTAACTGAAGTGGAACATATAATATAATTATTTAATTTTCGAGTTAATTTCTAACGTAATGCATTTATTTTGTTGTTATTAATTGATAATTCAATTACATTAAGTGAACGAATGTTGAAATTGTAATCATGAGTTTAACAAATAATTGAAATGATCAAGTTACAATTTCGTGGAATTTCAATATATAACTTAATAAATGATTTGATCACTTGCAGTGCCAATTTTTGTCGTCTATTTTGTTTATTAGTTACACTTGCAGCGTTGGAACATTCCTCGAATTTCTAGAACGATGATTCATTTTTTGCTTTGATATAAATACTTTGTTTTTTTGATTGTTATACAATTTCCCTACAGTACTAGTTTTTATAATATATAAATTTTATTTGCGCAAATCAAACATAACTAAGTAGTTATTTACATTCTTGACAAATTAATTTTCTGGAAAACAAAATATTTTGGATAGATTTATTACGCAAAACTTTATCTTGTGAATTGTATGAAATATTGTGATTGAAAAAGATATGTGCAGATTGATTTATTTAAATCTATTTTTGCAAAATTTTTAAACCGACAATTGCATAAATAAACGAATGATTTGTAAAGTTTGCACCGGACAGTCACGCAAAGTTCAAGCCACGTGAAAAACTATTTACACTTGTTTGCTCCACTTGTAATGCATCCCCAATTTATCAAACGGCATGCAAGAAAAAAATAACTGTTTCTTTTTGCAATCATAATCAGTTATATAAACCTATTTAGGCCAAAACAAGAAAGTATGCTTAGTTTTACTAATATAATATAATTATGTTGGTCAATTTCATATAGGTACCAAGGTTGTTAATAAAAAGAAAAACAAGGATTTTTTCTGTTCTTTAATTTGATTGCAAATACACAGCATTCGTTTTGTGTGTTTCTTTTAATTACATATTTGTTTTTTTTTTTAAATCAATACATGTAATGCGTGCGCCAAGGTAGAGATCCGGAAAGAGATTGGACTAACGAGGAAATTACATAACGTTTTTCTTTCTTTTTTGCATTGGCGAGATTTCTTTTTAACAAATATTTGGAGATGTATTGTTTCTTCTTCATTATATTTTCTAAGGGTTTTATATTCGAATATTCATATTAATTATGATTATGAAAAAATGCTCGCCGTCTAATGGGATTAATTATTTAAAGAAGGTAATGCTGGTGGCTTATGGAGCAGAGTTCTTTTGCGTTTTAATAATGCACGTTGTAAGGAAACTCATTAAAGTTCATTTTCTTTGCTTACCACGCCTATATTTAAAAACCGTGAGATTCTTGTGTCTTCTGATCTCAGATTTTATTAAAATATGATGTAATAA